GTCGTGTAGAATATATATGATATTGCTCGAATATCCTATGTATGGTCATTTATTCGCCAAATGGATTGTCTCTTTGATTTTGGGAAAAAGTATTGGATATTTATTTTCGATTAATTGTGTAAATTAGCCGGAATAAGAACTTAAATACCAACGTAGAAAATTGAAAACGAAGAGACGGTCTAATTATCTTGGTCTATTTTGAAAGAATTTCCATTTGTTGGAGTCCAAATCGCAGAGCATTGTCGTCAAGGTCAATATATGAACTAACATATATGGTGTGTTTAATCAGAATGCAGAAGACAATGGAACGTTACCGTAAGTACACAGATAGCAACAACAATCAGATCAGCAAGTCCGGTAACCAAGATTACATACAGGTACGTACCCGACATTCTTAAATGTTTTGTTGGAAGCATGTACTTGGCCGATTTTCATTTCAGAACCATGAAGTAGCTGTCTTCACAACTCATGCCATATATGTATGAACACGAGGATATACATTTTGTATTTGGACATATTTCCATACATCTCGCTTTATATATATGTGTGTGGTCGTTTCTATTGGAGAAAGACATCGAAAAACGGCAGAAAAACATCAAAGTTTGTATCCCATTCTCCATAGTTGATTTTCTCCCTCTACTCGTGGTTTTCTCTCTATTTGGGTCTCCACGTAAATCTCTATATCATTTTGATTCGTACGGTTTTTGGCTATAATGTAGCTATTGAAGCAAGAAACAGCAAGCATGATCAGAAAGATTGAGCTCCTTGAAGTTCATAAGCGGTTCATGCCTTAGTCTCTCATCATTTTCACTTGCTATATATATATATATATATGCGAATAGGTGTTTACCCGTCGTTAAACCCTCTTTCTGTGGATTTGTTATAGGAAGCTATTGGGACAAGGCCTTGCTTCCTGTTCCATAGAAGAGCTCCATGAACTTGATAGCCAGCTTCAAATAAGCTTAAGCCATATCCGAGCAAGAAAGGTACGTATATAGCTAGTTCGGTTTGGATGCTAAATACATGCTCACACATGTTCTTCTAATGGCAGATTCTTGTTTTCAAAAACATCATTTAACAAGAGTCCGAACACAATTATACGGTGGCAATTCTGTATGGCATGTTGTTTTGTTTACCTATTGTAAACCGATGGACAGTATAGTTGTGAATTTCCATTCATAAACATGCATATATATATATATATATATGTTTATAACAAGTATTAGCCTTCATATATATAAGAGCTATTTAAAATATATAATAAAAAAAAAAGAGTTTCGACAAATTTTCGCAGGCTCTGCTGTTCAACGAGCAGGTGGAGAAACTAAAAACAAAGGTACGCAAATCTTTTATCTATGATTCAGAAACAGTTTTTGCAGCTTCGAGTTAGAACACGACAAGAACCAAAAAAAAAAACAAAAAAACTAGCTGTCTTTCATGGATGTCATATGAGCATTCGTGGAGAAAGTGTTTGAGAGATCATAGTATTGTATTGTGCCTTCATCTTTCAGGAGAAATTACTGTGGAAAGAGAACACGAGATTATGCCAAAAGGTGAAAATATTATTTTGACCGTGTGAATTTAGGGTTTCTATTTTGTTTTTTGTTTTTTTCTTCTTTCCAAAGTTAAAATTTATTTTACTGCATATGTGAATATGGTTAAAACTTATCTTAATGGCAGTATGGTACAAATCCATTGGAAGCACGAGTCCTACAAGACAAGTCACGGGCAATAACTCCGAGTTTGGAGGTAGAAACCGATTTGATCATCGGTTTACCTGAGAGAAGTTCGTAGCTTTATATAAAATTTGGGATGGAGATTCATGTAAATTATTACGAAGAAACATTTGAAATATTTGGATAACAAGAAAAAAGAAAAAAAAATAACTCGTAATGTATTTTATATGGTTTTCAATCGATTTATGTAACCCAATAAAGATAGAGAAATTGCATTGGTATGTCTACTCAGTGATTGTATATTTATATATATGCACTCATTCATTCATTTGCCTACTTATTTCCATGACGAGCCATGTCACACGCATTATATTATGTTTTAGTTGAAATAAAGTTTTGTAATTTCATTATATTTTATCATCTAAGAATGCTTCCCCCTATATATAATCTTCCACTCTACAGCGTTACGTATTATTAATTGGGCTAGAGCCCTATTTTGTTAGCCCTTACGTAAGAATGGGCTTATAAAGTTCCAACTTGTACATACTGCACCTTAGTTTTTTTAAATATATATATATATATATTTTCCTTGTAAGACACATGACACAAGCTTGTGTCTTTACTGTAACATAGACTGTCTCAAAAAATATTTAAATATATACCTTGTTTATTAAATATTAATCCCACCGCTTGTAATTTTTAAAAACATGACATCAAACATCGAAGTTGCTACAATTGATAATTTATTAACATTATTCGTCATTGGATTATCCTAAATAACCAGTTTAATCGACTAGTTAGATTATAAGATAATATTCTGTTGAAAAAATATAGTTAAGTTTTTCTTTAAATTAAAAAGTGTACCGAATAATAAGCATGTGGATATGTCTCACTAAAGGTAAATTTCATTTGAAATGTAAAAGTATGTTTGCTTATATCAGCAAAGCACGTACGCTCCTTTTGGAGCCATATTATACACATAAATAATATATACGTTTAAATCGATTATTGATTTGAATATTACAAAACAAGAGTTTGTACGATTATGTTTTTTTTTTACCAAAAGAAAATATGAAGTAACTATAAAATGCCGAACATTATATTATACAATACTATAATTCAAAGTTTTTGCAATATGATATGAGTAGTGTAACGAATGAAACATCAAACGGTCACGTTCTTCACTGTGTGTGCTTTTAAAAATATCCCGACATGTCCTGATTCCTGCACGTACTTTGTTCACCATCCCTCCGAAATTATGCATTTATTCAGTGGAATTCTATTGTTGTGAAAAATAATATTAATATATATATACACACACATATAACTTGCATCCACTATTCAACGGATATATTCAAAACTAGACTATCACTTTTTAAATCAATATTTATAGCACCATATATATTTGCTCTTAAACCAATGTAATGTTGGTTAATTATTATGTTTTGTAATGAAGTGTGAACATGTTATCGAAAACCATTTTCAGTAACTATATATAATGAAGATTCGCAGAAATACCATTTTCAATAACTAAATACAATGAAAATTTACACCATGTGTCGTACACGTATATCACTTATATATATATATGTATATATATATATATATATA